GCATCACCAATGCAAGGAACGTGTACTTGGGCAAACTCCAGGATACGGTGAGGGACAGGGAGGCCTGGTGGGCTGCAGTCCATGGGGTCGCAGTTGGACACAACTGGACTGAACAGCAACTACTGATATTTACAACATTTCAGTTGTGTTAGTTGATGTGGGGGCAACATTTAAGGAAGCCAGTCCACTTTGGATTGGACGTCAGGAAAAGGAAGCAATTCCTTGACCAGACGTCTTCATAGATTGCATTACAGAGGCAAGAAGAATAGACAAAAGTTAAACCTGTAACTGGTAAAGAATGAGCAGTCACTCTGATTGGCCGAGACAGAAGGAGGTTTGGTCATTTTTGTGGCTTGGACAATGTTCTTCTTCTGTCTGTGTTCAGACAAGTATGGAAGGGCCTCGTTTTTGCCGTGGATCTAACATCAGAGCCTCATGTCTACGTTTCATGGAACTTTGTATATTCAGTAGAACACCGAGGCCAGCTGTGTGTGCCAGGCCAGCTCCCTGATGTCACCGCCATGGACGCTTGTTTTCCCCTCTTCCCCACGTGTCCGGATGGGAGCAGACAAGTCCAGAGATGCCTCCTCTCCACCCTGCATCTCAAGGGTTCGCTTTAACAGGATTCTGCTTCTCAACCTCAAATTGGCCAGGGATGGCGGGACGGAACCAACGTGAAAAACCCATAGTCTTCCGGGTCACCAGGCTCACTACAGCTGCCCTTGAACGCAGCCTTGTGTCTCTGGAAGGGGCCTTCTCGGAATCCAACGCCCATGCCCAGAGACAACTTGAGGAGCCCAGGACAGGCGCGCGCGGGGAACATGGCGCCGTCGGCCTCACTGTCAGCAACCCAGCCAGGTTACCAGCTCGCTCTCGCGGCGGAAGCGAGGCCAGTGCGCTTGCGCGCCCCCGTCCCGCCCCCGTCCCGCCCGCACGCAGGCCTCTGGGGCGGCAGGGCCACGCCGCGCGCCGATTGGTGGCGTTCCGGTAGCGCGGCCTGCACTGGCGCGGGGAGCCGGGCCTCCGCCATGTTCGCTGCGCAGGAGGAAAGGCCGCGCGCGGCCCGGCGCCCTTTGTGCGCGGCCGCTTCCCCTCACGAGAGCCCTGCGCCGCCGGCCTGCGTCCGGGCCGCCCGCCTGGGTAGCTCATGGTCCCGGGCGCTCTCCCGGTTCGGCGTTTTCCTGTGCTTTGTGTTCTGTGTGTATCCCGGCGACTGAGGTGGTCCCCGGCTCGGCTGCTCGTGATTCTGAGGCTCAGAAGAGAGGATTCGTTCTCTCTGCGTCCTCCGATCTTGTCTCAAGACTCGGAGTAGTTGTTCCCTCTGGGCCCCGGAAGTCCCCTCTCCCCAAAGGGAAGACCATTCACCCGGGTCCGCTCCCCACCCCTGGCTGCCCCCTGACCTCGGCCGCCGTGCGCGTCCCGGAGGCCGGGGGTCGGAGCTCCACGGGGTACCCGTGCGGGGACCACCACTCCTGGTCCTCTGTCCGGCGGGTTATAACCGCGCCCAGGCTGAATTTGGCAAGACCTGTTCACGTTTTCAGGTGCAAGACATTCAAATGCTGTGGCTTAGGACTTTTTTTTTTTTTTTCCTAGTCTAACTCGGTGGCAGGAAACGTGGAAAACTCTTCAGAACACTTTTCAGATTCCAGGCCCAGCTCAGCCCCACTCAGCTTGCAAGCCCGGAAGGTGGGGCCCGGGCTCTGTGTTACGAAATCCGCAGCGGATTTTGTTGGACAGTCCCGGAGGGGGTCTGGAGACCCTGGTTCGGCAACTGCTGTTGTCCTAGAGGCATACGAAGGTGACCGACACCCAGCGTTTGCTTTCTTTCAGAGAAGCCGAATTCTGAATGCGAGTGGTTGACATCGAAAAGGGACAGAGTTAATGAATGGGAGATGCTGAGTGCCCCGGGAAAGGGGTGTCTGCGGTCCGTGAACGGAGAGTTGGTTAGGAGGTGATGCTGGACTCGGGCTTCCAAAGATGGATAGAGTTGTAATTTGCAGAGATTCTAGGCGAGGGAACAGTGTGCTTTTTGGGGAACGTTTGGTTCTCCGGTTTGCCTGCGAATGCAACGTGGAGGAGAAGTGCGACCTGCGACTCGGATCCGTGAAGAAGGCTCCCAAGAAGGGGTTGTTCTGCCCTCCGTAGGGCTTGGATTCTGGCATGTCACATGTGGGCGCCAGGCCAGTCTTAGGAGGCCGATAGTCACAATAACGGCACTGTTAATTTTCCCGGCAGAACATCTCATTTTGTGGGTTGTTCCCTAGATTTCTTTTCTTGTTCTTGTTGTGGGTGAAAACTGTGGCTTGTGTATGCAGTCTTTTTGACTCTATTGGTGGAGGATAACTTCTGTCTGAGTGTGTTTGGGGCAGAGTTTGCGTTTGCAGATGCGCCTGTATGCCTGTCATTTTCTTTAATCGCCATCACTTTCTACCTGAAATTAATTCGGGTCCCCTCAGGCGGAAGGGACCCCTGAATGATAGAAAAGTTGATTCATTAAGTTGGTGCTTGGAAGGACATCCCCAACCCTGGCTGAGACGACAGGGTGGCAGAGGTGCTGCGTGGTGTTTAAACCCGGGCTCCCTCAGGAGTGGATCAGTGACCCGCCTCCGGCCTGTGAGGAAGGTGCTGGCACTGTCACAGGCTCTCCGTGACCGAGTATGTTTTCTGTAATAGCTTTAAAGGCAAAGAAGGCGTGCTTTCTGAATTTGTTGATGACAGACGCCGAGAGGGATAAGTACTAAAGTGAGTACAAAATCAGAACCCAAAGTTATCTTGATAGGCATTTAGTTAAAACCAGTAAGATTAAACTTAACAGGTTAAAAAAGTCATTTGAACAAGAATAGAAACTGATTTTATGATTTTGCAAAAGTACTTTGATTTTTGAAAATTTAAATCAAATGTCAAATAAATCAAATGTCATACTTTTTGTTTCTGAAAAATTGTTGATAACATTGAATCTAGAGTGAATGAGAGGAAAGTAAAGTTGGCTTCTTGAAGCAGATGGAGAGAGGAGGCTAGATTGCCACCGTCATAGCCCTTAAAGGATATGCAGGTGTCACAAATTTCTGAGCTAATGCAGGAACAATAAAAAGACCTAATCATTTTCACAGTCCCCCAGCAGAGTTGTTTGGGGCATGTACTCAGACTGGTTTCAAATCCTAATTCTGCCCTTGCTGTCTTCTGCGGCTGTTCCTGCATCTGAAAAATTAGTGTTGCGTCCTACTGTTACCCACAGGTCAGAGAGCGTACTGTGTGTGGGGGAGAGCAGAGGCTCTGTGCTCAGTACTGATAGATGCTAGTGCTTTGTAGCCGTTACTCTGTGAGTTAACTTTCACAGCTGTTCAGAAGGGGGAAAATGCACTCTTAAGTGGATTCTGTCAAAACGCCCAGTGTCCAAAGGGAAGAAGTATCCACTCTTCTGATCCTGTCAAGTGTATTCTGTTTAGTGTTTTGATTTTTGGTTTGAACATCACATCTAATGTTCCTACACCAAGCTTCTTACTTTTTATGATCTGAAGAAAAATATGGAAAGAATACAGTAAATGTTTTCAGATTTTGAGCTGAATTAAGGGTTTTCATCCCAACCCTTAACAGGTTTTGCTTGCTGAGTGAAATCAAGTTTCTAATGTACAGTATACATACTTACTTAAAGGAGGATGTGTATTTGTTCGTATCAGATGGAAATGGAATTTCGGAATTTCTTTGCTTGTTCGGTCTCTAAGTCGTGTTGGACTCTTTGCAATATCATAGTCATTAAAATGCTGACTGATGTCTTTGAAGATTGATAGCTTTATTTGGTAGTCTGAACAAGTTAAAGGTGTCTTGGTTTAAAGTCATTTGTGTAGTAATCTGATTTCAGTTTTATAGGGTGGTTCTTTCACTACACCAGTACACTTTAAAACTGATGGTCTGCTGTAGATGACTAAATAAATACTTGCTTTACAAGGCACCCTCAAAATATTTCTTTTTATGAAATTGGAGATCGAAATATAAAATAAAGGCTAAGGTATTAGAAAAAACCTGCACTAATTGTAAAACCTCAGGGTTAGCAAGAAAAAACTTAGGTCATAAAAAAATTAAAATGGATTTAGCTATGTAAAAGTAAAAAGTTTTTGCAGCCAAAGTAGCACAAAGGCAAAAGACAAACTGAGAGAAAATAGTTGCGGTACCGTTGCTAAAGGTCACTGCCCCTGGTAAGGTAAAGGCTCAGACAAGTTAACAGGAAAAAGGTGACCCATTAGAAAAATGGTCAGAGGATGCATCCTGACAGTTTACAGAGAAGTGCAGGCGACCCACCGATGGGAATTGGTGCTAGCTTCCTCAGTCACTGGGAAGGAATAGCAGGTCACTGGTGTACCATGTTTTTCACTTGTCAGATTTAAAAATTGGCGCGATGGTAATGAGTATTCAGAGAAATGGACATTCTCATGAAGTATGTTGAGAGTGAAAGTTACCACAACTTTTTTTGGAACACATTTTGGCATTTGCCAAATTTCTTTGTTTACTTTCTTACTAGCAATCTGGCAGATAAAATGAGCTTATAAGTCCCGGGTTGTTCATTATGGCATTATTTGTCATGTAATAAACCAGAATCACCCCGCATGCTCATCAGTCAAGGACCCGGACAAGTGAGTGGCAGTGCTTTCTGTACATTGTAGGACAGTGGGTGACTGTTGGAAAGAACCCTTAGACCCATTGTGCTGGTCTGGAGCGTGCCTGGATGGCTTACATGAACAATGATGTACGTGGAGTATTGTATGTAATGGTGGCAGTGGCTCATGGCAAAGAATCTGCCTCAGTGCAGGAGCTGCAGCAGACACAGGTTCGCTCCCGGGGTTGAGACGATCCTCGGGGAGGAGGAAGTGGCAGCCCACTCCAATTCTTGCCTGGAGAATCCCATGGACAGAGGAGCCTGCTGGGCTACAGTCCCTGGGGTCGCAGAGAGTTGGACCCGACTGAAGTGACTTAGCAGTAGCAGCATTGTATATAGCGTACTTACACCTTTTAAAAATTAAAATGAACATCTACGATTCAATTCATGAGCATAAAGGGAAGTGGAAAGTATACACTAAGGTGTTACTCTGGTGGGGATAGGTGGAGCAGTGGGCCTTTTTCTAATACATCTGTGGTATTTGGAAAACATACACAGTTGTCTGTCACTCTCTGCGGGGGATCGGGTCTGGAGTCCTCTTCAGATCCCCAGATCCGAGGATGCTTAAGTCACTTATATAAAATGGTGTAGTACAGTTGACCCTTTGTATCTGTGGATGAGGAGGTCAACTGTATTTATAGTTAAAAATTCAGGTACAAGAAGCAAGTTAGGCAAAATATTTAAGGTTTCTGTTGCTATAAGTAGCAACTTTTTGCTAACCTGAAAATGATCAAGAGTATTTTTGTCAGCATAATATGTAACTTTCAGTAGACTTAGCTTCAGACTTAGCTTCAGAATGTAAATAACTTAAAAAAAAAATCAGATGAGATTAAGTGTCATGGAAAACCTGTTTTCTGTCTTGTTTCTTTCTTTATGAGAGTTCTTGTATTGAGAACTCAGGGACCACTTCTAAAGTTAAGGTCAAAGTCACACTTGGTCCAGTGATTGCAGCCCCGGATACTTTGAATTACTATTTATCCAACACAGAATGTAAGGTTCTGGCTAACCAGAAGTTCCCTTTATAGCATCTGTGATGTACAGTTTTTAAAGAATCCAGATGCAAACTATTTTAACTTTGATCCTTATGATGATGCAAAAAGGTACTCCAGAGACCTTATAGAGCCTTAGGCTTATCTTTGGGGGGTTGTATAAAAGTTAAATGATCCTTTTGAAGTTCCTGTAACAGCGAGGAGGCAGTATAACACCTCACAAAGAGCATGTGCTGGGAAAGCAGGCTACCTGCGTTTCAACCACCATTTCTCACTGGCTCTTCTCTTGGACAGTTACTTAAGCAAGTGCATCAGTTTCCTCATCAGTAAGTAACCATAATAATAGTACCCACCTCATAAGATTATTATAAGAATTCAATCCATGAAAATATGTAGAGCACTAGAGTAGTTCTTGGCAGGCAGTGAACGTTAATTTTCATTTGCATAAGCCATTCTCAGTTGTGGCCAACAGAACTCTGAGATGATCTCACTGTGTTTAATTGCAGTACCACTCAGAATATTCTAGAGTGATAGAGAGCAGTTGAGGTTCACTCCATTCAGCAGGGGAAGAGAGGCTGTTCTCTGGGGCTGGTGGTAGGTTTGAGGCACTCTCTTAACTAACTTGTCAACAAAGGAGAGCGGCCTGGCTAGTGCTGAGCTGGAAACCCTGTTATGAGGAATGCTTGCCAGGACTGAAAATGTTTTTACCTGGGTAAAAGAGGATTCCCCCCATTGGACACTGGATTTGGAAAGACCTGGTATAGAGAGGTAATTTAATTCAGAAATTAAAATCTGGCCCTGCATAAGTGGAAGGTTGGTTGCTCTTCAGGTCGGCCACCTCCCAGCAATGTCCCTCTGTCCCAAGGTGCCTTGTGCTCTGACCCTGCTGAATATAGTGCGATTGTTCTGGGTCATCCTGTTCAGTTTGAAGTCTGTTGAAGTGGACATAATGATGCTTAGACTAGTACGGTGTGAGTTCCCTTTGGAAGTGGCCTGCTGAAATATTAGTGATTCTTGTAGGAGGAATAGTACAGTGAGTAAATGGTTATCCTAAATGCCTTTTAATGTTCTAATGCTGTTTTTGGAATACTTCCCATAGAGTATGTCACTTGTGAGAAAAGTGAAACTACTTGTAATTACTTAATGTCTTTATGCTAATCCTAAGGAGAAAATTTAATGGAATAACTATTTCCTGTTTGTGTTAACGGATATAAAGCAAAAGAGTTACTTTTTGTTAAATTAGGAATTTATCAGGTATTTAATGTACTTCTGACCTAAAGACTCCTAAAGAAATTTATTTCCTTGAAACTTATAAATTTTACTTAAAATTTTTAGTTTTTAAAAAAGTAGAGTTGATACCCAGCTCGTTTCTAGGCAAAAAGACAATATGGATGAAACTTTCGGAACACACATGTTGAGTAGGGGTTTTTTTTTGTTGTTGTTTTTTGTTTTGTTTTTTGAGTAGGTTTTTAAATGGGTGCATTTCTGTACTTGAGCTCTGAGGAACAAGATCAGTGTGTTCGATCTCAGAGGACATGGACATCCACATCTTCATCTTTAGCCCGTTGTTTCCCCCACATTCCTGTGGGCTGGTTCGTATATTTTGTAACTTCAGTAGAAATTTTGAGGAAAGCTGGAGAAGGAATAATGATTAAGTTTTATGTGGAAAGGGATAATTGAGTATAAAACATTTAAGACAAGTACTTTTGTTAGGTAAATCTTTAGGTTTTTAAGTAGAAAGATTTCTTAGCTTTCTCCTGAGTTTATCTTGGAATATCTGAAATTCCTCATTTTCTTCATAGATATTTATTGAATTGGGCTCTGTGCTGGAGATACCAAGTTAAGACAGATTCAGACCTCTCACCGTCTCTGCTTGTGTGTTTAAGATTCTGCTTGGTAATTAGTTCAGAATGTTATTGAAATAGGATTTTTTAAGATCGGTAGATCTTTGAAGAGTCCCTTTATCGAGGTACCAAGATAGAATTATTGTTTTGCTCTAGAATCAGTTTTTTCTTCTCAGGATTCACTCTTAAAGTTTTTTTTAAAATTTGTTCCTTTCAATACTGAAATTAGCAAGAAGAATACTTGTTTTCCTCAAAACACTCAGTAGCCCTTAAAATTCCTATTGGATCGTCCTTCATTGCTTGTATATTGACTATAACTGTTGGAAACAAATGTCCATATTAAATGACTGTTGAGAAAGTATTTTTGGAAACAGTTACTCTGTCCAACAGAGAGGAGAAGATTTGAATTTAATAGCTGACTTATCGCAGAAGATGTCCCCCTTCGAGCCCCATCTGGCCAGTGTCCAAGTGCTCTCTAAGCAGGTGTTCCGTGTTCTAGGGGAAGAAGCTCAGAAAGGATCTCTGCTCTTTGATGGTCTCCCTCCGGCCAGCAGTACTGACTCAGGTACAGTCTCCAGGCTCTCCCAGGTGTGTGTCAACGTGTCATCCTGGGATTGTAGTTGTCTCAATCTTTTTCCCTTTCCCCCATTTTCAACACACAGATGTTTTAGGTGTTGGACTGTCTTAAGTTTTGAATCCATGGCATCAGGTAAGGCAGAAAAATCCGCTAGTTGCTAGCCCTGAGAAACTGCGTGAAGATATTGAGCAGTGTTCTCTGGTTCATCTGAGTGTCTATTTTACTAGTGAAATAAGACTGAACTCTAAGGCAGGTTTTTCGTCTCCTTTGAAATGATGAGACTTAAAGTAGGTTCAGGACGCTGTGTGCACAGTGTGAGTTGCCACTGGATTGACACAAGAGTTTTGAGTTTATTTCAGTGACCTGTGTAGGTATCCTGGTGGGATGGATTCTGAAACTTGAGCCCCACCCTGGTTTTGTGGGCTCACTCAGTGTTTTGCTGTGTTTCAGGCTCTGGGGGACCTTTGCTTTTTGACGATCTCCCGCCAGCCAGCAGTGGCGATTCAGGTAAGTTGTAGGGAAGCTAGTCCAGTGTGCTGATGGAAATAAGATATAATATTTTACTCTTACATAAAGTGTATTTATTTATAGCTGTAAAAAGCCTTTGGATGACAAATCATAATACTGCATAAGGTTTATTAAAACTAAATAGATACCGGAAATTCCCTGGCGGCCCAATGGTTAGGACTCAGTTCTTTCACTGCTAGGGTTCAGGTTTGACCCCTGGTTGGGGAACTCGGTTCCCGCCAAAACGAATAAACAAACAAACTAAACTCAGTAGATACCATCAGTTGGGAAGCAAAAGATATACATAAATACTGCATCACTTTTTGGTGATTATTTTCTACTCCTTGGAATTTTAAGAATTCAGTCGTTTATTTTGACCTTTGTTATTAAGGTTCTTTAAAAAAAAATCTTAGTCTGTCATTCTAGTTTTGCCTTGTTATATTCCTGACAGATCCAGATGTATCCAGCAGAAAAGTATCTGAATATGTGAAGTACTTTTCACATTTCACACTGAAAAAATATCTTCAGTATCCCTGATAAATTAATCTTCTGTTTTATGCCACTTACAAAAGAAAAAGAATTTTGATCTTTAAATGAAGTTGGAATGACACTGCTTTACTGACTGATACAGACCGTGTGCAGGAATTTGAATTCTTGAAGTTTAAGACCTTAGTTAATTAATTTCCAGCCAGTACTTTTATGTTCGTTCTCAACATTCTTTTTGTTGATTTTATTTCATTTTTGTCAAGCCTATTAACACTGGCTCTACTTGTTTCTGTAAATGTTTAACTTTTCCTTTTATATCCCAGTTGAACAGAAGGGGAAAACAGAGCAGATTCCTGTAGGTTGTCATACATGATGAGTCTGTTATTCTGTCTGAGGACTTCTCACATGGAACCTCCCCCAAAGCGGGGAGAGAGGGGCAGGGTGATAGTTGGGGGCAGGGTGGATGCAGGCTGTCCTTTCTCATATGTATCTTCTAGTGTGAAAAAACCTTCCTTATGTTGTCAGATAGAACTCTTACTGCTTTTCAGGTATATTTTTCTGTATTATTAATTAATTGCTACTAAGTTATTGGAATTAGTCTAACCAAGTATGGATTAAATTAGTATTTTTCCTATTATTTGGACTTCCCAGGTGGCACTAGTGGTAAAGAACCCACCTGCCAATACAGGAGATGTAAGAGATGTGGGTTCGATCCCTGGGTCAGGAAGATTCCCTGGAGGAGGGCATAGCAACCCACTCCACTATTCTTGCCTGGAGAATCCCATGGACAGAGGAGCCTGGCTGGATACGGTCCCTAGACTTACAAAGAGTCAGACATGACTGGAGTGACTTAGCACACACACATTTCTGTATTTAGAAAAAGTATCACAGTCATCTTTCACAAGAATTCTCAGATTTTCAGGCTATGGGTCCATACAAAAAAATTAAAGCATTCTCATACAATTTACCCTAAAACCTTCCTATAAAGACAGTACTCTTAGTTATAATGAAAGTTAAATGTGTGCAACTAGGGCTCTTAACAGATTTAAAGAAAGGAGGGTTCAGGATAGTTATGTCTTAGTTATCCTCAGGGCAAAAGGCAATAAACTAATAGCAACTTAGAAACAGGGTTTGTAGAATCCAATCTTGTATCCAATATTTAGGATTTCTTGAGAAGACATACTTTTCTTCTCAAGCAGGCAAGAGCCATTTACAAAAGTTGACTACATTCTAGGCCATAAAGTAAGTCCTAGTACAGAATCAATATCATATGTAGACCACATTCTCTGATTACAATGTAATTCGCTTTGAAGGCAATAACAGTTTAAAAAATTTCTCTGTTTTGCAATTTAAAAGAAAGGAAGTTTTTTTTTATACACATTTGGAAAACTGGAACACAAACAGTAAGTGGCAGGAGGCTAATGGAGAGACCATTCAGAGATCCATGGCATTGTCCCGGTTAATTTGCCTTACCCTGTGGGGTAGGATGTGTGTGTTACACTGTTGCAGAAATCTGTCCTTTGCAAGTAACTGATTATTCTTGAAGGCAAGAATGTTTCCTTTTTCCCCTCAGTACTCAGAAAGGTCTGGCAAAGAGTAGTTGTGTGAATAATAAATGGTTGTATGCTTTTATACCTACATGCAGAGAATACTTAGGACCAGGGACTTATGGACCAGGGACTGTGATGAAAGCTTTACATACGTTCTCCCCATCAGTTTTAAACAGCCTTCTGAGAGGACAGTTTTCTCCCTGTTATGGATGAAGAAGCTGAGGCCGGCAGGTTAAGTAACTTGCCTTAAGGGTACACCCCTTGTAAGTGGCAGAACTGAGACTTAAAACTAGACTTTGTCGTTCCACAGTGCATACTCACTGCAGGTGCCCTTAGCTCTTAACTTTGAATAGACGTTCATCCCTTTGCAAGTGGGAATGGCTTCAGCAGTCGTGTTCTGCCTTTCCGGATACAGACGGTTCTTAGAGCTTGATATTGGTCTCATTTTAAGTTTTTGTTAGTTTTTTTGAGCTGGTTCAGGATGTTTCACTTTGCAGGTTTTGGAAAATGTATACGTAAGGGCTTGTGGATATAAAATACCATGTGTGTGCCATAGCCCCAAGGTATGAATGTGTTTTTACCACTGAGAAGCCTCTCACATGTCCCCTCGAGGCCGTCTGAGCAGGGCCTGGATTTTAACTTGTGGTCCCCCACTGTGGGCACCGAGGGCACTGCCCCACCCCTCAGAGTCATGGCCATGACCACTGAGCCTCCCTCTCCCAGGCCTCGCAAGAATGTCCTTTCATCTCCGAGGGCTGGGAGGGGACCAGGTCTGCTCGGGACTTAACAGTCTATAGCTGTGTTTCTGTCTGGTTTTTACTTTATATTTCCAGGTTCTCTTGACACTTCGATATCCCAGGTGGTAAAGAATGAAGGGAAAGGAGCAAAGAGAAAAACCTCTGATGAAGAGAAGAATGGCAGTGAAGAGCTTGTGGAAAAGAAAGTTTGTAAAGGTTTTCAGACAGTTTGAAAACAAATGTATTAGACTTCATATTGTAAGACAACCCAGAGCAAAATCAAGCTTAGCTTTCCAGTGATAACACTTCCTTTCTGTCTGTGTCTAAGAAGTGGATAGGGTTCCCTGTTGGCGCACGGATGTCCGAGTCCACGCGTGCTTCCTCACTCTTTGCTCTCCATGCGCTCCCTCTCTCACTCACCTCAGTCAGGTAGGGCGGGCGCTCTCTCACTCACCTCAGTCAGGCAGGAGACCTGCCTTGGCCCTTCAGGGGTTAGAGGCAGGCTTGCTCGGCTGTGGTTAGCGTGTGGGTCCCCGGTCTCTCTCCAGCCACGTGTCCTTGCCCTCCGCCTGTTGATTAGTACTTGGAATTCTGTGAAGAGCTCGTAGGCAGCGTCCCAAGAGATGACCTGAGGCTGGAAAGAGCAGTTGAAATTTGTCAGCTTTGTAAAGTGTCACAGTGCATGAGGAATAAGTGAGGAGTATCAGCTAGAGAGAAAGCTGACTTTCTCGGTTTTTACTGACTGCACCAGCCAAGCAAGCCACTTGGTCGCATGACATAAGTGATCTCCGGTGGAGGCTGCGAGCTCCCGCGGAGGTGTGATGTGAGGATGCAGGTTTCATCGTAGCTTGTCACTGCCTGGAGCCTGAAGAGCGCTGTGCCTGCCAGCGGCCGCCCTTCAGGAAGGACATCTATCACTGACATGGCTCTCAGTGTCAGAATATGAGCTCAAACCAGCCATTAAAGAGAAATTTCTGCACCTCCAGTGGACTCCCTTTTTCCTTTTCCTTCCTCAGTTAAAGTAAAAGCAACTGATCTTTCCATTTGTTCAGAGTCTTCCAGCCTCAAGCATGGAAGCACATATTTCCAATGTGTCCACCAGGGCACTTGGGATGAACTACTTACTTGCATTTCTCTAAACTAGATTTTTCTGTCCTCATGAAATTATTGACAGACGAGATTTGCAAGGAGCTCCTTGCCCTGGTTCCAGTCTCACTTCTGTGGGGTGACAGCACATTCCTTGCTCTGGTGCTTTGACCAAGTGCTCTCTTTGGAGGAGCCGTTCTGTCCTGACTTGCTGTCGCCTGCTGTCTCCTCTCCGCCGCTCAGCCTTGCAGAGGCCGCCCCGATAGCAGTGGTCTGCTTTCTGTAGCAGACTTGCCACCCGGGAGATGCCCGGCAGGGCAGCTCTCGGACACTGCTGGGTAGAACAGCCACAGTTCCCTCTCATTTGCTCTGGGACTAGGGCGTCTGGAGAGAAGGGCACAGTTTTGTATTGGCTTTTTGTTTCCTTCCCGTAGCCTCTTCGGTGATCTTCGGCCTGAAAGGCTACGTGGCTGAGCGGAAGGGCGAGCGGGAGGAGATGCAGGACGCCCACGTCATCCTGAATGACATCACTGAGGAGTGCCGGCCCCCCTCCTCCCTCATGTGAGTGCCCTGCTCGGGCAGCCCGGGTGGCGTAGAAGTCTGTTCTGACGCTGGTGCAGCGGTGAGCGGCCATAGGAGAGCTGGTGCGGTAGTGAGGGCCCAGAAGGAGACCAGAAGGGCGGAAGGCAAGCTGTGAAGTCTCTCCTGCAGTTGCGTAAAATTAAAGTGGAGGAAGAGCCCTTGTCACCAAGAGCAGGAGTTGCTTGGAGTTGCTTTTAGAGCCAGGAGAGGGGCTCTGGGGAAGCCTCGGGGGCACGTCTTTTGGGAACAGATTTAATTGGGGGACACCAAGCCATAACTAGTAGATGCTACACTGTAAGATTCTGAGTTATAAACCACATGTGAGAGGCATATATATACATATATATCACATTATGTATAATATTATATATTGGAATATATGTACACACATAATAGAATATCAGTCAGCCATTTAAAAAAATAAAATTTGCTGTTGGCACCAACATGGATGGGCCTCAAGAGTATGCTCAGCAAAATAAGTTTATTGTTTCATGGCTCATGATGTCGCACATTGGGAAGGGATTCTAGAAACGTTTGAGGAAAAGAACAGCTCTGCAGAGTAAATGTCATTTCTCACAAGCATATTTGCTCTTTCCTTCCTGAAACAGTTTTTTAATGCCATTTATGTATGTGAGTTTTTTGGCAAACTTGAAAGGGGAATAGGAATAGGAGTGGTAGGGTAGGCTTTAAGAATTTGATAACAGAGTTTGAGTAGCAGTTCTGAAACTACCTGTTCTCTTACAGATGTTCTTGACTGTCTTGGATCAGTAATTTATCTGTGTTTATCTGTGTGTTAGTGTTTAAATCTGCTGTAAGTAGAAAACTCAATCTGCTTTAAATAGAAAAGAGTTCTGAATATTAGTGAAAAATCAGAGTTAACAGATCTTGATTTTTGAAGTAAGTGTGAATTTTTAATTTTAAAATGTCATGGATGTTACTCCAGTATTGTCTCGGGTACTGTTGCTGCTTGCTGTTCGAGTTAAAAGCTTTAATGGAGAGGAGTAATCTTTGCCTGAGGATCTTGCTGACTCTCAGTTCATTATTCCAGCACTCGGGTTTCATACTTTGCTGTTTTTGATGGACATGGAGGAATTCGAGCCTCAAAATTTGCCGCACAGAATTTGCATCAGAACTTAATCAGGAAATTTCCTAAAGGTGAGGCTCAGAACTCAATCGGTTTGCATTCATCTCGGGGTTGGCTCTTTGTGCTGGTGAGAGAGACGTCACTGGCTTTAGGAGAATCCTTGATCGAAAGAGCATGGCTTAGAGGGGGTGGCGCCGAGGGGAGCAGGGGCTGTGCAGCGGGCCCACTGTGGAGCTGCTTGTGTCTCTGGGCGATGGCACCTCTTGTCTCTACTTGGGAGGTTACTAACACCTCCATTTATAGTGGAGGAAGCACAGCTTGTTCTTGGTCATAATACAGAAACACAGTGATGGTGGCAGGAGGATAATCTTCCTTCCTTAAGACTTTGTTTTCTTTCCTGCCCTCTGCAACAGGAGATGTCATCAGTGTAGAGAAAACCGTGAAAAGATGCCTTCTGGACACCTTCAAGCATACTGATGAAGAGTTCCTTAAGCAAGCCTCAAGCCAGTAAGTGTAACCACATGAAGACCTGTGGTGGAGGGGGTGTGGTGTTTTCCTACACGCATCTCAGGCCTTCCAATATGGTTTAATGCTAACGCTTGTGTCCGAAAAACTCCTAGCACCAAGTAAGCTCTTAAAGCTTAATGAAATCTGAATTAAAAAACACGTATTAAAGAAACCGTCCATTTTAAAAGCAGGACACTTCCCTTTCAGCTCTGGGAGTTCAGTCTCAGAGTGCCGGCACGTTGGTGGTGACTGTGTCTCTGATGTGTTTCCCCCCCAGGAAGCCAGCCTGGAAAGACGGGTCCACCGCCACGTGTGTTCTGGCCGTAGACAACACTCTGTACATCGCCAACCTTGGGGACAGTCGGGTATGTGGCTGTGGAGCCGCCCCCAAGACAGCAACACGTCCGGAGGGGGGGACTGTAGGCAGCACTGGTGAATAAGGCCACGATGGCGGGGTTGCTACAGGGGGCTCTGTTGCAGTTAAAAGTTCTGGGTCAGGGAATGGCCGCTAAACTGGAGGCTGTTTGTTCTGGGAAGACTTACACCCTATCTGTCAAACAGGTACAGAGCTGTAAGTTGGAATTTAATTGGCCCTCAAGTAAAACTACTTATATTTAAACAACTATTTGTCTTCATTTCTTTGTCCTCAGATAGTAATGAATGAAAAGTATTAGCCCCTGCCTCTCCAAATTATATAATTTCAAAATAACTCAACAGCTGTGACTGGAAGAGTGCTTGGTGATGGGATGAATGTCCACTGAGCCCAGCACTCAGGGCTGAGGGAGAAAACCCGGCTGCTTCCCACGACCACAGCCTGTGTCATGTCCCAGCTGTGGGGCTGACTTAGAGCCAGAGGGCGGGCTCCGCAGGGCCTCTGTGGTCCCTGCTGCCTCCCCGGCCAGGAGTAGACAGTCGCCTCCCTTGCCGCCTGCTTGTCGGCCATTCTCCATGCTCATGCAGCGGTCACGGACAGAGTGACCTTCCCACTCTTAAAGCATCTTCAGACATGGACATAGCCGCTCCCCACCCTGTTGCTTTTAGGGTGACTTGGGATACGGGGCACTGGGAGCCGTGAGCACCCCAGATGAACCCCTGCCCCAGTGGGGTCTGTGCTGGGGTGACCCTTTAGTGGATCTCTCTGGTGGGACTGCCTCTTGTATACGGGCGTTTGGACCAGAGGACTTAAAAATAGCACGTGTATGAATTAGCCAGAAAGAGAGACTTTGGAGTCAGACCCAGTTTGAGTCCTGGTCCTGTTCTGTGACTCCAGGCCTGATGCTTATCCTCTGGGCCTCAGGCCTCCCCCTCCGTAGAATAAGAGGTTTGTCCGGAAGTGACCACCCAGTAAACACGGTGATGGGAACACGCAGACGTGTGCTTGCTCAGCCCACCAGATGGGCCAGTGTAGACTCAGGGAACGGTGGCGCCTAAAGGGACCTCGGTGCTGTTGAGGGACCTCCCTTTCACATCACAGGTGGGAAGACAGCGACCTGGCGAGGGGAGCAGGGGGCTGAGGTCACTCAGCAGTGTTCTCTCCCTCAGAGAGAGAGAGAGAGTGTGTATGTGTGTGTGTGTGTGTGTGTGAGACACCACTTTGCGACTTGGTACTTTTGACGCTGGACCCTCTGAACTCAAGTTTGTCAGCAGGAGGCTGAATCTGAGAGTCAGTTGTTAACCGTGCTCTCCCCCTGGCAGCGTTGGGCGCTGGGCTTGTTCAGTTCACACCTGGTGTCCTCTTGTCATCCCAGGCAATCCTTTGTCGTTACAATGAGGAGAGTCAAAGACACGCAGCCTTGAGCCTCAGCAAGGAGCATAATCCGACCCAGTATGAAGAACGGATGAGAATACAGAAGGCCGGAGGGAACGTCAGGTACCGGAGGGTGGCGGGGGCTCCGGGAGGGGCCACTGTGGACCCGCCGAGAGACCTCCGCGGGCGGGGCGCTCTGCCTTGTGCAGTCTTCAGCGCGATGAGACTGCCTGCGGTCTAACTGGGTGAAGCCGAAGTAGGTGGACACGTGTCGTAGGATTTCACGTGTGTCCCAGTGGGAACAAACAACATGTGCAAGGAACATGCCTCCCTACGTCTGCAAAAGGAGGATTCCTGTCTCTAATTCTCGTTCACCATTTGCAGCATTTTCTGTGGTCCTAGGAACTCATAAAAACTATTGTTTGTCACAGCTGAATACGCTACAGTTTGGGCAGTTTCTCCAGAGAGAAAATCTGAAGTGGTTAGGACAGTAGCATGAGCTGATCACCTCTGGGCTTCTGGGGAGCAACTTTCAGGCCCAGGGGGCTGCTCTTGGCTGGCTTGGTCTGCGCAGTTGTTTCATCTCTCTTTACATCTTTGAAGACTGTGCCAGCTCTAGTTTGTCATCTGCCATCTCTCAGGTAGTTAAGCAGGGCTAAGGATGCTGCATTAGGAATATCACCAGAGGTCTTTTCTGGTTCATCTTACCGTTTGAGCCCTTTAAGACTTCGTTGCCTGTTGGAGATAAGGGAGAAGTGAGATGCCAGTGTGAGACTGCAGTTGGAGGTGTCGTTTCTCTTCTGTCGTGTACTTGGGGCAGTTTTTGTTGTCACTTGAAGCTCTTTCTAGCTGGTGGTGCAGGGAGGTCTCGAGAGGAGTCAGAATTCTTAGGGTTGGTTAAAAAACTCCAGGGTTAGTAAAAGGTGATTTTGGTCTGGGTTATGGCTGTCTGCGTGAGCAAAGACAGAATTACAGATGGGGTTCTGACCTTGGCCAGTGCTGTGACTGACTGAGCCCCCGTGACTGCTTGTGGGAGTTAATGCCCAAGGATGTGACCCCAGCACTGGTGTTAGTAGCATCACTTTTAAAATTCTGCATTTGCCTGAGCTCCTTGGAAAGATTTTGATATTAGCATTCCTATGGCTGAAAGTAAGATCAGCTGTATTGCATTTACTTCCTGTTTCCCAGTCCCCATTTATTAAGCACTATGTGGACTTAGGGTGTGCCCCTCAATTTGGAGACGTGAGTGGGGGTGCTCAGAGACAGGAGGGGTGACTTGTTCCCGAGCAAAGGGCTGGGCTGTGGCCCATCTCCGGCCCAAGGCTGGGGCTGGCATGCTTTCACTTTTTGTCCATGCCCTCTCACTTTCATTATTAAGATTTTCAAACATGCAGAAAAAATTTTAAAATAGTAAGCATTTAAATATCTACTACCTAGATTCAATAATTAACATTTTGCCGTATTTGCTTTGTCTGTTTATATGTGTGTGTACGTGTGTGGCTGAGCTGTTTAAAAGGTAGCTGCAGACATAACATCTAAGAAAACAGTCATCCCTCAGTCTGTGCTAGCTCGCCTTCACACCCCACCTGTGCCCCGCTTTCCCAGCTGTCCCCAGAGCGCCTGTCGGACGCCAGGTCTGGCCCGCGTTGACCTCGCGTTGACCTCGCGCGCTCCGCGAAGAGCCTCTCCACTTTGGCTTGGACCGCGTCCCTAGCCAGCCCTTGGGTAGGGTCGCCGGCACCGTTTTCTCATGGTGTCGTCTGAGGCGCCTGCATGTTACGTCTCATAAGGCAGAGTGTAGGTTACACATTTTCAGTAAACGTGGGGGACTTGATGGGGGATGCCAGGCGCTTCTGACTGCGCCCGTGTCAGTAGCCATGTGTGATCACTGCTGGAGATGGGGGCTCCGTGCTGGCCACCATGCGGTAGCAGATGGCTCTGGGGTGGAGAGCATGTTTCCGTGTGTGTCTGCCGGTAGTCTGGGGAGACCCACTCTGGCCCCTTGTGACTGCTGCCCGTCAGCCTTTAGCACCCCTCAGTGATCTTGCGTGAATCAGTTACTTCACAGCGCCAGCAAAGAGGACCACCGGCTTCTGGCTGCTCCTGCACGTGGTAGCAGGCAGCCTGTTAGGAAAGGCTCTCCTTCGCAACAGGGGTTGAACCAGCTTCTCCCTGAAAGCAGGATGTGTGTTGAATTCTTCCATCACATTTACAGAGTGGGAGCCACCCACTCTTGTGGAAACCGGAGTTTTTCTCTCCCTTCTCTGCTTCTTCCGTCCCCCTTCCTCGCTCCAGGAGTCACTGCGGGTGGGTTTCTGTATCCAGGGCGCTGACTCTAGCCGTAGAGGCAGGGTGTTCTTGCCCCTTTGTGGGCCGCGGGAGGGAGCACCTTCCACACATCTGCCTATCTTAAAACAGCTCCATGTGCTGGACGTGCTGGCGTCAACTGCAGGTTCCTCAGTTCACGTCTATTCAGGACAGAACCAGGAAACACACACACGTGTGCTCTCTGTAGCCTGTGAGCTTAGATTGCTACTTCTCATTCTAATTGAGCGTTTATAGGGCTTTCTCTTAACTTCTTTGAGTCAGTAGTTGTAGTGTCTTTTATCCTGAAAATCTTGGTTCCTAATAACACCACATATTTATTTGCCAAAATAGCCTTTTGAAAATTATCAACAGCATCACTGTTACTGAATGTGAGCTCCTTGTGGCCCTCTTGTCTTCGCCTGTGTCTCACTAAGGATATACCGAGTATTGTGTGTAAACATGGAATAATTATTTTCACTGTGGTTTTGTTACACTCGGTTTGTCATGATTATTAGTTTCATTTTGTTTTCAACTTCAGGGCTCTCTTATCCTCTTATTATGAAGCATTTACATGGCGAGATAGGAACCCTGGTGCACTGTTGGTGGGAATGTAAAATGGCACAGCCATTGAGGAACATGGCATGGCAGTTCCTTACAAATTAAAACTAGATCTACCGTCACAACATTGTAAATCAGTACTTTAAAAAGAATAAAGATAAAAATTACATAGACCTGCCATGTGATCCAGCAGTTCCAGTCCTGGGTCTGTATGTCCCAGAATTCAAAAGGGGATTTGAACAGATAGGCATGCACCCATATGCATAGCATCACTTTTCACAATAACCGCAAGGTGGAAGCAACCCAAGTGTCCATCGTTAGATGAAGAGAAAACAAAATATGGTCCTCCATAAAATGGAAACACTATACAGCCTTGTTAGGTAGGAAATCCTGTCACGTGGATGAGCCTTGAGGACATTTTGCTAAGTGGAGTAAGCCAGCCAGAGAAGAGCAGACACTACATGATTTCATTTATATGAGGTGCCCCCCCAAGTGGTCAGAGTCGTCATCCGGAGGGAAGGTAGGACGGGGTGGTGGGGGAGGGGAGCTGGTGGTTAGTGGTCACAGAGTCCTGGTGGGGGGATGGGAAGGCTTGGAGATGATGGTGGTGATGGTTGCACAAGAGTGTGGATGTACCTAATGCCACTCAACTGTTTGCTTAAAAGTGAAAGTGAAGATGGCAAATATCATGTTACATATTTTTACCATGATTTTAAACATGAAGAAAGCCTACACTGACATGGTCAGCGATCTAAAATACAGAGCAGAGACGTGCTTCCAGGTCTCGTTCTCTTCACCTCATCTCCTGAGTCTTCCCAGTGTGTCTTCTTACAGAGACACGCATATCCACGCGTGTGTTTTTATTTTCCTGCTTTGTTACACTGAAGGGCATGGACTGTATGTGCAATGCTTTACGCTGCTCAGGAGAATTCCTCGGAGAAAGTGAAGACAGCTTGATGTTTATTTTACGAGGAAGGGAAGCTTACACCTGTAGCATCTGCTGTCGGGTCGAGTGCTGTGTGTCTGGTACGGTTTCTGATGACAGGGAGATAGTTCTGGAATCATAGGTGCAGTCCTGCCCTATAGCACCCACCCTGCTGATACTACAGACCTTGGCATCTGCCCTCCTGGGATGGTCAGAGGAAGATGGAGCTTCCACCTCCCAGCCTCAGCTTTGCGAGCCCGTTGAGACCACTGTGTCCCTGGGCCGGAGGCGCTGTAGTCAGACCAGGTTCAGCGGGCAGCCAGGGTGTTGGTCTCTGTGGCCCTCTCCAGTTGTGAAGGATAAACTGGAACAAAACACCAGCAGAAAAGGTGCTGCAACCAGTGGGCTTTGGTGCCTGACTTGGCGCCAATAGGACAGCCGCTGTCTGATTGATGGGTGGATGGAAGGGAGATGGGAAGGATGCTGTGTGTAGCAAATTCGCAAGTGCTGGGGGGCAGGGGCCCCCAGCTGGCCTGTGGACAGCAGGTCCCCAGGGAAAGCAGACTGGCTCGTGGGCTGGGACTTGAACACCCACTCCCTGCCCAGCACGGTGGTCTCAGGGGAGAACTTTGAGCACAGTGGGAAAAGAGCGGATTCTCAGCGGTGTGCCGGGGGAGACAGCGTCCCGTGTTGCGTACGGGAAACTGGCTGTGTGTGGAGGGGCTGTCGAGGAGGCTTGGGGCAGGCGCGGTCCGTGACCCGCGTGGCTGGTTCCGGGCAGCCCTTGCCGGGAGCGGTCCTGTTGGGCTCGCTGGGCACAGAGGGCAGGTGGTGTGACTGCTCCCGTGACGCACAGCCTGAGGCTGCCTGGGTCTCTGCAGCCGGCTGGCGCCTGCACCACACATGTCTCACACAGCCTGTTGCGCTGAGTGCAGGCAGAGCGGCAGCCAGCCCACTGGGTCGGGTTCAGAAGCATGAGTGCGCTCCGCGTTGTCCTGGTGGTACTTGGGTCTTCGGCCTGGCCACTGTGCGCAGTCTTGTTCAAACAAGCTGGGTCTGTGACTCGGGAGGAGGACGTGCACCCGGCCCCCTGGCTCTCACTCCAGAAGACGCACTCTGGTCCACGGGCTCCAAGCTGCCACCTCTGGCGCGCTGAGGGACCCCCGCGCACTTCTTCACCCGCAGCTCTGCGCTGGCGCCCTTTGCTCCCTCTTGCTTTTTGTTCTGCTGTTCGTACCTGAGAAGATTGCTCAGCTGCTCGCAGATACCAGCATAAGTTTTTGCTGCTGGTGATCTGGTGGTGGCCACCGGGAGGGTGACTCTGAGGGCCAGTGAAAGGCCAGGAGCCAGGTGGGATCCTGACTCTGCGAGCGGCCCGACCCTGGTGGGCGGTTCCGGCCCCTTGGGGAGCCCCGTGGTGGTGCAGCACCTCCGCACACAGCTCTGTGGTTGGCTGAGCTCTCTGGCGCCCCTTGTCGAGTGTGGCGTCTCCTCTGGCCTCACACTGAGAGCCTGGGTGCTGGGCATTGGTGCTGCCCAAGGGGCATAGCACGCACGCCCCCAGCATTGTCCTTGGGAGCGGTGGGCATGGGGCTGCTTTCCCTACTGACGGAACCAACTGGGTGTCTTAGGCCCTGCAGTCACCTTCCCCTCTTCTGAAAGTAGAATGAGTGAAGGTGTAGTGGTGCCCAGAGTTCTCCTATTTATATTTAAGTCATTAAATCACGTTCATACCCAAAGTAAAGAATACTTGTGAAGACTCCACGCAGTGCTGCAGCGCTGTGTTACTGGCGGCTGAGGGATGTGGATGCCACAGCTCACGTCCTTCACCCTGTCCCACTTCTCTGCTTTTGGGGTCAGGGTCTGGGTCCTGGGCCCCTGGTCTGCCAGGTGGGGTCTGATGTGCCTACCCCTTGCTGCAGGGACGGGCGTGTCCTGGGCGTGCTGGAGGTGTCCCGCTCCATCGGGGACGGGCAGTACAAGCGCTGTGGGGTCACTTCGGTGCCGGACATCAGACGCTGCCAGCTGACCCCCAACGACAGGTAGGCTCTCCTGGGGCACCGGGCGGCCTCCTCCTCTTGTTTCTTTTCCGACTTCTTCCAGCTCGCATACTGAACCTGGGGTGGCAGGCGGGCAGGCGGCCTTGTCCTAGGCACTGTGCTGGGCCCTCCAGGTGCAGGGATCAATAACATCCCAATCTGCTCTTGTGGGTCCAGTCTGACCACACGTGAACGCGTGCACAGTCCCGTGTGTCTTAGGGCTGCGGGCTGCTCCAGGAGCCTTCGGCCGTGGCGGGAGGGAGACCCCCGTGTTGGGGACAGCAGGGCTTTCCCGCAGGGGACACACACCAGGGTGGTGAAGTGGGGCGGGGTGAAGGTGTGGCCGGCTGACGCCACAGTGGGGGTTGGGAAATGGTGGCAGGCACTTGGACAGGTTGCAGAGGCTTGCCTTCTCTGCTGAGCAGTCTGGGGTTTAGCTCATAATGGGAGAATCGTGGGAGGTTTTTAAGCGGAGCCAAACTAGAAAGAGATCTCTTGTCCAGCCTCTGTTTCTGAGCTGCTTGAGAATAAAGCCCTGTGCCTGCGGGAGAAGGCCAGTGCAGGAGGAGGACGGGGCCCAGGGGCCTGTCGGGCACTGGCGCGCCTGCCTGCATCGGGGGTGTGGGCACTGAGGCGGCAGTGAGGGGCCAGGAGGCCGGTGCTGCCGGGGGCACCTTTCCACACCTGCCTCGGCCCCTCGGGGCACGTTTCCACCTGCTCCCCCAGCTGCCCAGGTGACGCCTCGGGAGAGTCTTGTTGCCCCTTGAGACCAGGCCCTGTGTGGTCCCTGCTGTGGGAGCCCCTCGCTTTGCAGCATAGCGGAGCCCCTCTCCGGGCTCTTTCACCTCGGCGGAAGGGGCTGGCACTGCTCGGGCTGGGGCCCTGCCGGGTCCCAAGCACAAACCATGTGCCTGTAAATGCTTGCTGAGTGAGTGCCCAGTCGGGTGGAAAACCAGGACCTGGGTGTTAAAATGAGGAAAGAGGCGCGCAGGAGAACCGGGACTGTCCCGCCCGCCCGTCCCTGTTGGAGAGACTCCCCTCGGCAGCCGGGGGGACTTTGAAAGGGACGGAGGCCTGTGCTTCAGCCGTGCAAGCGGAGGGCTGGCCCCCCTTCACATGGGCAGTGAGCGCTTGACATTCCTCAAGTCCAGGCGTCCGTCCAGTTTGGGAGGTGGCCTGAGGCCTGTGTGGACCGACACTCACCACGTATTCACCATCCCACCTGATGGATCTCACTCGGTGATGTTCCTGGAGTCTGTGTGAGAAACCGGGATTGGGTTGATCCCTAACTTCTGGTGAACAGTGTAGTCTCAGCTTTGATGTATACCGTCTCACCCAAAGTAGTTTTTAAGTGGCTTTAACCTTGATCTCGTAGAAGTTAAATTGGTTTTAAAATGTGTAGCTTTTGAGGAGTTGGCCAAATATATTTTACCTCTATTGCCAGGCCATTTTGTAAAGTTTGTGCTAAAACCCATCTATGTTTTTCTCCATGTTGTAGGTTTATTTTGCTGGCCTGTGACGGCCTCTTCAAGGTCTTTACCCCAGAAGAAGCCGTGAATTTCATCTTGTCCTGCCTGGAGGTGAGCACGCTTAAAAGGGGGTGGGTGCCCGTCATTCCGGCTGCCCTTGGGCTTCAGAGGAGAAATCCCGGGCCCCCTTCCTCCCGTGTCCCCGGGGAGAGTGGAGCTCCATCCAGGGCACTCACCGCTCAGTTTCTCCCGCGCCCCCCCCCGCCCCAACCACCACCACAGGAACCAGGGAGCAGTCGTCCCTCCGGGAGGGGGGGGGTGCATCTCGGGAATGGTGGGATGCGGGTCCCTGTTCACCAGCGCCCCTTCCCCACTTGGCAGGATGAGAAGATCCAGCAGCGGGAGGGGAAGCCCACCGTGGACGCCCGCTACGAAGCCGCCTGCAACAGGCTGGCCAACAAGGCGGTGCAGCGGGGCTCGGCGGACAACGTCACGGTGATGGTGGTGCGGATCGGGCTCTGAGCGGGCGCGGCCCTGACTCCGAGGTTCGCTTTTGTGTTGTGCACATTATGTGTTTCGTGTACTCCTGTGGGATGCCCATGACTGTAAATAAAGGTGTTTTTTCTAGACTTCTGAGTTATCTTATTATGTTTTGAGCAACACTTGACCTTTCAGAGGTTGTATTTCCTTTTGAACGTGTTTTGGGTCTTCCCTTGTTAAAGGCGTTACAGGCCTCTCGGATTGGCCAGTAGTCATGGCCGTGACTGCTCACCGTGCAGCGCTTTGTAGTTTAGGGCACCTTTCCCGTGCTGCCGCCTCCCGATAACTGGTGGGGAAGGTGGCATTTCACAAGGTGGTGTTTGAGGCGGTGACTGGCTTAGACAGGCGAGTGCCGGAACCCAGGGCTGCTGGAGGCGCTGACTGCCTTCAGCTCTGCAGACGAAAATAAGGTGACAAAGCATTAGCGCAGCGTGAGCCCAGGCTCAGCCAGGAGGTCAGGCTGACGGCTGAGGAGCACTGCCCGCACTAGGCCCTCCAAAACACCCGAGTTCTGCTCATTTCCCATCCTGTGATGACAGGCGCCATCTGGCTGCGCCGGTGTGGAACTCGTGCGTCTCCAGGTCTGGGCGGTCCCACTGCAGCCCCGTGTGGCCTGAGGTCTGGCCTCCTGGCTCGGGGGCACGCACGGGGCTCTGGGCTGGGCTGAAGTTGGGCTTCACAGCAACACTTCTGTCCAAGACGCCAAAAACACGTGAGGAGCCTACCCAAAAAAGCAAACTCGAAAATTCTTGTCACGCCCTTCTTCACAGAGAGAGCAGGACACTGGTATAGCTGGTGAGGCTCCTCAGTGAACCGGGCTGCAGGTGTTTATGTGTGAATGCTTGCCTCGGGATGATGTAAGATTCCGAAGGCTGGCATTTGAAGCTGTTCTGTCACGTTTGCGGGCCGCGCCCAGCCTGCACACAGGCCTTATCACCTTGTCAGCTCCTTTAGGAGGACCGGCCTCCCTGCTGCCAGCGCCTCAGGGGCGTTTCCAGCACACCCCTTCCCAGCGCGGAGGGCCGGGCTTCCTCTCTGCGGAGGGGTGGGACGAAGCAGCGTGCCATCACAGGAGGAAGGGGCCTCGGTGTCTCAGAACGGGGAAACCGCGCGTGTTACTCAGTCAAACCTTTTCTTACAGCCTACAAGGCACCAGTCTGTGAGCCCGTGTCCCTAATTGCCAGAGTGCCGCTGTCCTGGAGCTGGGAGAGGCTTGGCGTGGGGCTTCTCTGGCCAAACCCATGCTCCCCCCTCCAACCCCACAGGGAACCTCCCCTCCCCCTCCCCTCCTGGAGATCGCCCCTGGTCGGCCCTTCGCTTTCATAACTTTGTATAACCACATAAAAGAATTCTCAAACAGGCAGTTTTTATACATAAATATATTTCACCTGACATTACACAATAAATACTTCAATTAATTGCTGTATAACACACTTATATCGAGAAAAAGGACCGTGGGTCTCCCCAGGGTGAAAGCTTTTCTAAAGTATCTGTACCCACTGGGTAAAGAGAAATCCAGAAGAGGGTGTGGCCATACCACCCCTTATCTAGAAGCGGGGGTGGGCAGGCAGGACGCCAGCCGGCTGGCCCTTCCTGGTAGGGTGGGGGCGCGTCCTACTGAGAACTGTGCCCAGCCCGCCGAAGGGCAGCATGCCCGCCGAAGGGCACAGACTGGTCGGTTTGTGTGTGCAGTGCCTGGGGTTCCCATTAAGAGTCAGACTGTGAGCTGGAAGCCGAGGGCTCCTGGGCACCTGCTCACCCCCGGGCCAGCTAGGAGGTCAAGGAGCAGGGTGACTGCAGGCATCACCCCTGCCTCTCCCAGGCCTGGAGGCACCCTTGCCAGACCAGCTTGGCCCCCAGGAGCTCCTGCAGCACCAGTATTCCTGTGGCCTGTTCTCTGTGCAGGAACGGGGGTGGGGGTAACTTCTTCAGCAGGCCAGGGGGGCCCTACGTCAAGAAATGGCAGGAACTCTCAGACACCCTTGTCTCTTCAGGGGAACAGCCGCCATCCCCCAGCCCCGAATGCCATCACCGCTGCTTCAGGGCAGAGCACTTGTTCCCCAGCCTGCCCACAATGCTCACAATGCCCATCTGAACTTGGGGCCACGGTGCCACCCGACTGGGAAAGATGCTCTGAAGAGCCCAGAGCTGGATGGACCCAGCGGGGCTGGACCGTGTTGAGTGGGCACCCATAGCTGCCAGCCTGTGGGGGGCTGTGGCTTCACCCATCCAGATGAGGGCGCAAGGCCTGGCCCTCCCCAGTCTGCAAGAATGTTCCAGCTCTCTCCTCTGGTGGGTGGGCCCGAGCAGCACGCCAGGGCCTCAAGGGGACAGGGAAGACGACCTCGTCCGGGGGAGGGTTTGCAAAGGAGGGGATGGTGGGGAAGCCAGGCGAGCTCATGAGTAGACTCGCGCGCACACGTGAGAATAGCTCCGGACTCACTGTCCCCATCAGCCCCTATCAATCCCTGGTGCCCAAGGCTGCTGTGCCCAGGGGCCGCAAGGACAGGCTCGGGCTCTGTGGCCCCTGCAGGCCAAGCAGTGCCCTGAGGTCCACAGCAGCCAAAGGCACGGCTGGGAAGGGGCAGGTGGACGCCAGGCAGGCTGGGCGGCCTCTCCCCTTCTTGTTGGCACGCCCAGCGGGCAGCCCACGAGAGCCCCAGGAAAGGTGTGGCCAGACCTCAGCCATGGAACTCAGGCCACCTGGGCAAGCTGCCCGGGACAGCCAGGAGGGGCCCAGGTCTGCAGCCGGGGAGGAACAAAAACGCACGCGCCTGGGCATGCTGAAATGCCTCCTTGGGAAAGACGGCGTCCCGGGATCATCCGGAGTTCTAGGACCACCAGCGTGCGTGTCGCCTCCGCGGGCTGCCTGTAGTGGCATCTCTGGCTTCAGCTGTGGTGGCCAGGGTGGGCAGTCCAGCGGGCTCCCTCCTGCCTGCAGTGTCTGCCACTCCAGCAGTGCCCCTGGGGTTGCTCACACTCCGGTGTGGCGCTCACACACCAAGGAGGACGGCGCTGAAGTGGGAGCCGCCGCGCACCGTGAGGGTGGAGCCGCTGGCGTTGTCCAGGAAGACGGAGGCGTACTGCCCGGCCTGCGGGGAGGCACCGCGGTCAGCCTGGGTGCTGTGGCCCCGCCAGCCCAGACGCCTCGCCTTCAAACCCAGCACCGCCGACCCCGTTCTCGCGCTTTCTCCCCAGCTCCATCAGCTTGCTGCGCTGGCTGGGGGCTCCCTGTAGTTTATGAATGTGAGGGCAAACCTCCCTCAGGGCCAGAGTCAAGCTTTCTTTGCAAAACTCCGGCGGGAGGGCGCCCCTCCCACCACAGGCCTGGCCACTGACCCCTCTGGTAGAGCCATTGTGAGGCCGGTAGCCAGACCTGGCTACTCCAGATGTGGTCCAGGCACCACAGGGTCACGTCCCCAGATGTGAAGCGGGAGCTCCCAGGAATGCAGAAACCAGGCATTCCTTCCCAGGACCACAGGCCCACCACGCCACCTGAGGTCATCATGCAGGGACCAGACCTCTCAGCAGACACAGCCACAGCCTGGCCTCCAATCCTGGCGTTGCTGGGCGAGTCTGGGCGAGCTACTTAAGCCTTCTGTGCCATAGTTCCCTTACCCACCTCAAATCACTGTGGGTTGATGAGAAATTTATGTGAAGCGCTCAGAACAGGCCTGGCCTACTTAAGGCTATTTGCATGTAAGCTGTTATTCAACACATCTGCAACTAGGCTTCTGTTTCCAGGAAAACCTTTTCATCCATTTCTTGACCACCTGCCCCAAATCCCCGCAGTCTTTCTAGACTGTCACTTGGGGTTTTGTGTGGGATAACCACGTCTGCTTCCCACAGTCTCAGAGGGCCAGGGGGTCCTGCTGTCCTCCCGGGGAAAGCTGACCTCTGTCGCTGTCCTCCCCTGCCCAACCGAGTTCTCTCGGAAGGGCCTGTTGAGGCCAGCATGGAATGCTTGGGAGGTCAGAAAACAGATGGAGGGGCAGAGCAGAGGACAGGTGTTGGGGGCAGGGCAGATGTGGGGAAGGGAGACCCAGTAACACAGCTTGGCTCTGCTGGGACTAGCATGAGCACTCGGTGCTGCCCTGACCCTCGTCAGGGCTTGGAGGCAGGGGGCACTGCACACACAGCTCCCGAGCCCACCAGCAACCCTCCCTGCCAGCAGTGGTCCCCCCATGGCGGAGCCTGCCCCACACACCTGCAGGTACAGAACGCCATTGACTGAGATGGTAAAGAGCTCACTGCTGCTCTCCAGCCCCATGACGGCCTCCAGGGAGCTGCGGCCAAAGGAGATAGAGGGGGTGCCTGAGACTCCAGCCCCAGACCCCCCAACCCCACCAGCGATGTGCTCCCCATCACCCAACTCCCGGCCCGGCGCCACGGAAGCAGCAGCCTTGGCCAGGCTTCTGGGGGAGGTGGTATCTGAACTGGGTCCCCAGCAGGAGTGAGGACAGGACTGACGTGCACAGGACGGAGGGTGTGCTGCCAGGGCCGCAAGTCCAGGCTCTGATGGGACAGTCTCTGATGAGACTTGGCTCCAGGCGGCCAGACGGCGGCAGGGAGTCTGGGTTCAGGCCAATCGGAGCGCAGCTTTCCAAACCAGACAGACCGAGATGTGAACTTCACTCATGGCACGCCTTCTGCCACTACTGTGGCACACCAGCCTGGTCTGTCTGGGCGCTGGGGTACAGAAGGAGCAGCCCAGCCCTTCTGAACCGACATCAACCTGAGGATGGATGCGGCGGGAGAGTGCCAGCGGAGAGGTCCCGCACAGACCCAGCGGGGAAGGCCTCTGAGGACGATGCTGGCATCTCGGTCGCCAGGTGGTATAGTCAGTCCCTTTTGGGTGCAGGCGTGATCGGGGGTGGTGGAGAGAGCGGGGCGTGGGTGCGGGCTGCGGAGGGTCGGTTTGGAGAAGCGGGCGGGCGCCAGGAGGCTGGAGGAACCTTGCCAGCAGGCGGGGGAAGCCCCGAGGGAAGAGGCGGGCGCCCACTTACGCATGGTGCTGGCACCGGGACTCCAGGCAGATGAGCAGACGCAGGCGATCCCGGGGGCGCGGCGGCCCCCGCCTCGGCGGCTCGGCTAGCGCTGCGGAGGCGGCGCGGGGGTGGTGATCACCGGGCGGCGGGGCCCGAGGGCGGCGGGGCGACCCCCACCCCGCCCCCAGCCCCGGGCCGGGCCTCACCCACGTGCAGCGTGGCGGCGAGCGCGTAGAAGCCGGCGACGGGCGCCGTGTACTGGCCGCTGGTCAGGTTCAGGCCTGGGCCGCGGCGGAAGGCGCCGTCGGCGTCGTCGAAATAAATAATGCACGAAAAAGGAAAACAGACGTGAGCCGAGCCAGAGCTCGCCCGCCTCCCGCCTGGTGCTGCGCGCACGCCCGCGCTCCCCGCCGCCGCCTCCTCGTCATCCTCCGGGCGCGCGGCCGGCACCGCGGAGGGAACGCGCGGGCCGGGCTCGGACTCTGCGCACTCCCGCGTGCGCACCGCGCCTGGCACAGAGCGGGCAGTGGTCGCCCCGGGACCCCCATCCCACGCCGCGGCCCGCCCTGCCGTGTCCCGCCCGGACCCCTGCCCCAAACCCGGGCCCCGCCGAGAGCGCAGGCACCGTGACCGATGACCCCTGGAACCGCGCGCCGGGCGCCCGCTCAGGACCCGCTCTGGCCTGCAGAGTCTTCTGAACCGGCTTCCCGATCCCGCGGCTACCCCCGTTTCCTTTCATGCTTTGGCTACCGGGAAGCTCAGGGCTGGTGCGCCCAGGACCCCTGTCCTCCTGCCTCACCTGTTTATCCTATCGCTTCTCACCCTGGGGCTGCTGCTGCTTTTGCTCTGTTTACGTTTTTATTGAATCAGGAAGTGCAGCAGGATAAGCCAGACCCGTCATTTGGGGAAAGAAGCTGAGTGTAAAGAAATTATTATTGCAGAGAATGTGGAGGTTCTTCAGCCGCTGAAGCTGGTCTATTTAAATGAAGTGTAGCTGCTAGTCGCTCAGTGGTGTCTGCCTCTTGGCGACCCCATGGACTGTAGCCCACCAGGCTCCTCTGTCCATGGGATTCTCCAGGCAAGAATACTGGAGTGGGTTGCCATTCCCTCCTCCAGGGGATCTTCCTGACCCAGGGATCGAACCCGGGTCTCCAGCATGGCAGACAGATTCTTTACCGTCTGAGCCACCAAGGAAGCCCCAGTACATTAAATAGAAGTGGGGAAAGACTCAACAGCTCTTCACGGTGAAATGAACTCTAGTCGGCACCCAGAGCCCTCACCCAGCAGCTGGCCTCAGTGCAGGGACACCGCCCTGGGTGCTCTCGCCCTCTGCGGCCTCAGCCCCAACACGCTCCTCCCCGTGCTCCCGGGACGGTCCTCCCGGCCCCGTCGGGTGGGCAGCCTCCGGGGGCCCGCCCCTTGGGCTCTGCAGCAGCCATGTGTCAGGGGAAGAGGCGGGGCGCAGGTGAGGGGAAGAAAGAGGCCTGAGGTCTCCCTGGTCTCCTTGCAGGGCTCAGTGGAGCACTCTGCAAGCTTAAGGAGCTCTGACTCCTCCCTAACAGTCCCCACTTGGGCAACGCGGGCTTGGATCTCTCAGCTTTTGCAGGCTCAGCGGCCTCCCAGGTGGGGCATGGAGGCTGGTCCCCAGGCGCCTACTGAACACAGAGGCCAAGTCCATCCTCCTCTGTGAAGCCGCCCCCTCACCCACTCCTCCCCTACCCCCACCAGCCCCCGACCCACACACAGCCCTGACCCGGGCCAGCACCAGAGCCGTGGCCTCCCAGATACAGGTCGACAAGACCAAGGTCTGGGGTATCTCGGCTCCCTGCCCCCGCTCTCCCCTGTGGGGTGTGTATCTGTGTGGTACCCACCCCCTACCTTTCAGCAGCAGCTGGAACTCCTTCAGTAGGACCTCAGGTGGGGTGATGGGGCCTGGGGGGCCCTGGGGGCCGGGAGGCCCCGGGGGTCCTGGCAGACCAAGCTGAAAGAGAAGGCTGACAGTGAGGACTTCTGAACAGGCGGGGTGGGTGGGGGGAGCCCGTGGGCACCCTCTCAGTGAACTCTTGCCACCAAGGCTGGTTATGGGGAACAGGGAGACTCCTGCTCTGACCCCTGAGGGGGAGGTTGGCCTCCAGTTCCCCTGAGGAGGCAGTGAAAGCTGCAGGCATAGGGCTGGGGTTGGTGGGGCACTGGGGGCCAGGCTGGGACGAAGGAGGCCGCAGCCCATCCCTGGGGCTGAGGGAGGGAGAGGGGCGCAGGGGGCGCTCCAGGCTGCCTTTGAGTCTGTCACCGCCCCAGTCAGCAAGCCACCCCCGGGCGGGGGGGCCCTCAAGGAGCCCTCACTGGACTGGGCTGGGACCCTGCTGGAGGAGCCTGGGGAACCCCCAGCTCAGCTTGGGGGTGACGGGTCAGGCCCTGGTGGCCTCCCAGCCGCCGGGCTGCCCCAGGCTGGGGCAGCCCTGGGGAGCAGGGAGGCCAGGACTCAGCAGGGTGGCACAGCGCTGCCCAGAGCGCCCCACCGCAGGGGATGCGGCCCTCACTGGGGCCCAAGGCAAGGGTCAGCCGTCAGAAGCAGGGGCCAGGCCCCGCCCAGGCTGAAGGAGGGTGGGCACCAGTGGCTGCCCAGGCCCCCGGTGGCCCCCAGACTGTGTCACTCCGGCCCACCTGCAGGTCCCTCCTGCCCGGTCCCTGACTGCCCTGCAGCCCCGCCCAGGCCTCCCAGGCCAGGATACAGAAAGGGAAGAGAAAGTGGGGAGCCTGGGAGGCTGCCTGCCATTCTAGGGGTGCAGGTAAATGGCCAGAACAGGCACCCCGAACTCAGGGTCACATGGGCCCCTGACTGGACACTTCTGTGCTCTCTGGCCTGAGGCTGAGGGTCTGTGCTTGTTGGAAATGCTCAGGGTGGGACCAGGGGGGCGGTGAGTGAGGATGTGGGGTGATGGTGGTGGACTGGGGGGTTAGAGAAAAGCCTGTGGGTGGAAGTTCACACACACACACGCACACACACACACACTGGCTGGGCTCCAGTGCTCACCTTCAGCTTCTTGGCCTTGCCCCTGCTCCCCCTCTTGCTGTTGACGCCCTTGTCACTCTGCCTGACGAAGAGCATCCAGGTGTCTCGGGGGTCGATGAGACCATGCGCTCGCTCCACGGGGGTCTCCTGGAACACAGCCGCCAGCAGGTTGTTTTGCCTCCCAGGCAGGGCTGCCGGCCAAGCAGACTGAACGCTTTGCAAGGGGTCACAGGACTGGCCTCCTCTGGCCCCCTGGGTCCCCGTCTCTGTCAACAGCACTGCCCCCAAGACAGCATAGCCCCAGCCCCCGGCCCCTTCCTCCTGGCCGCGGAGGACAACTCCCGGGAATAGCCACTCCTCAGCCTGGACCCTGCAGGGGAAGACCCTGGGCGTGGGCAGAGGAAGGTGGGGTGCAGAGCTTCAGGGCAGGTGGAAGCTGGCACTGCTGGGCCCCTCCCAGCCTCCCTCCAGGGGAGCTGCTGCTGCGTGCCCCTCCCTGAGGACCAGACCACCGGCCCCCCCAGGGGCTCAGGCAGGGCTGCCCACGGCCAGCAGGCACCCAACCAACCCCCGGGGTCTGGAGTTCTCGGGAGGCCAGTTTCCGCCCTTAGGGCTGCAAGGCCTGCGTTTCGGGGCTGTTTCCGGCACCACGGGTGGGGTGTCCAGCACTGAGATATGGTGACGCAAGGCCCCTGCCTGTCCTTAGGGCTTCTGATACACGAGCCTCGAGCTGGGACAGTGAGGGGTCCAGAAATGTCCACCCTCCCCCTCCCCCCGCCAGGCTGCATTCTGACCAGTCCTGACATGGTGGAGCTCCAGGAGGTAACTTCCAGGGAGAGGCATCTGGCCCTGTGGGCGGCAGGCCCTGGACAGCCCGGGCTCCGGGCAAGGCTGCCAGCTGGGAAGGAAACTGGCTCAAGAGGGCTTGGATGAGGTCATGGGCACTGACTCGGGCGGCTGGTGGAAGGACCCTGGGATCTTGGAGCTGGGCAGACTCAGGGGTCTCGTGGCCACTGCAGGGGTCCAGGGCCTTCCCTCAGGAGCTGGTGTTGTGTGATGGGGACGGGGCTTCTGTGACAGAGGGATGTGGGTCGGAGGGAGAGGCCTCAGAGTGCCCAGGGCGTCCCCACACCTCCCTGGGTGCCTGGCCCTGCGAGGCCTCCCCGCGTGGTTCCTCTCCATGAGGACCCGTGACCCCAGTTCACCGTCCCACGCCACCCTCGGGGGGACACGCGGGAGGAGGACTCTGTCCAGGGTGGATTGTGTGCTGGGCCAGCCCTCCCACTGGCCCAGGAGCCTGTGGAGGGACTCAGACCCCAGTTTGGCAGAAACAGGTGGAGCCACATCGGTCTGGGGGCCTGGGAGACAGGCTGTGGCAGTGTGCGTGGGCATCAGGCCACTGCCCTGGCTGATGGAGGCCTCCAGCCTCCAGCGGCTCTAAGAAGGGAGCCCTGCCTCCAAGGCCAGAACTCCCCTGCCCCCACCCCCGGAAGCACCTGAAGCCCCTCTGTTTCCTGACCGCCACAGGCCAGCCTCTGGAAACCCTGCCCCCTGGCGCTCCCGGGGGCTGAGGTGGGCTGTCAGGGTAGGCTTTGTCTTCAGTCCATGGGAAATGGCAGGGGGCGATGGGAACAAGGGCTCTGGGGAGGCCCCTAGGGCCCAGGGGGTGATCAGGGCTGGCTACCACTGTCACCTGTCTTCAGTGGGGGCATCCCCGAGTGGGGGTGTCGTGGTTCCCAAAGTGATGCTGAGAGCAGAGGTGCGGCCTGAGCCTCCGGGCACCACCCACAGCATCTTCGGAGAATAGAAACTCCAAGCACCCTCCCCCGAGCCCTCCCCTCCCTGTCTGAGGCCCCGCCCACACTGAGGGCAGTTCTGAAGGCCCGAACGAACCCCCTGGTCTCCCCGAACCTGACCGCCTGGCTTCTGCAGCCAGAAAGGAAGGAGCAGGGCAGAGCTAAGCGTTGGCCAGAAATCACACACTGGAGCCCGGCACACCGTCCAGACACACTTTCTCCCTCCCTCCCCAGTTGACAGGAAGACAGCTGTTTATTTTCAGAGAAGGCACCAAGGAGACAGGGGGCAGGCGTGGGGTGGGGAGGGGTGGGGGGGTCAGGGACTTGCTCACACTTTTACAGATACCCTTTTCCCAACTTCAGGAGGATGGAGTTATTTACACTTCACCAGCTTCCCAACCTGAAAGTCCCCAGAGAACAGGCATTTCCCCCCAGTCCAGTAGAACTTTGCTTTTTATGACAACCCCAAAAGCCAAGGTCAGGGCTGGCCCTTAAGGCGCCGGGCTGGGCAGGGGACCAGCGCCCAGACCTCCGGTGCCAAGCCCGCAAGCTAAGCGTTTTCCCCTCCCCTGTAGAGAGAAGAGGACAACCAGGCCAGCCCCGGTCCCCGCGGGCTCGCGACGCCGCGCTCCCGCCGCCGCGGAAGCAAGAGCATGGCGCCCTTGGGGCGCCGGGGGAGCCAGGGGCGCGCGCTGCGGGCGGGGAGGCTGAGGCCCGAGGTCTCCAGGGCCCGGGCGGGCCGGGCGGCGTCTTACCGGCGGGCGGGCTGCCGGCCCCGCGGGCAGTTCGTTCCCGGGCGGCGGCTCGTCGCGGGCGCGGCTCCCCGAGGGCGCGCCGGGCTCTGGGGAGCCCAGGCCCACGGCGGCGGCCAGCAGGCTGGCGTAGGCGAGCAGCAAGGCCCGCGCGGGGCAGCGGGCGGGGGCCATGCGGGCGGCGGATGACTCTGGCCTGCGATCGCAGCTTCTGGACTCGGCCCCGAGCTCCGCGCCTTATAACGCGCTTGAATCCCCCGCCTAGCCCGGGGAGCGCCTCCCCGCCCAGNGGGGTGCGGGCGGGGCGCGAGTCGGGGTCGGGTGGCGCGGGGTCAGCAAGGGGCTGCGAGGAGGGCCGCGCGGGGGAGGCAGGGGCTCGGGGAGCCGCGGCTGGCGGTGGCCGGAGCGCCCCCTCCTGTCGGGCGCGTTTCCTCTCCGCTGCGGTCCCGCTGCGCGCTGTCCAGCCTCTGCTTCGCGGGCACCCGAACACCCTTCTCCCGGCCACGGGATATCCCGTCTCTCCTCTCTGTCCCGCGCGCCTCCTGCGGGGACCCCGAGACGCCTCTCCCTGAGCGCGCGCTGGGCTGGGTCTTACTAGATGGATCACATCTGAGCCCGAAGACTGTCAGAGGCCCTCTTTGGCGCCCCTTTCCCAGGCGGCGACCCCTCACTGCTTCCTACGACCTGGGCACCGTGAGCTGAGACGCTCTGTTCCTCCCCGCCAGGCGCACCTGCAGGGGCCTCGAGGGCACGGGGCTGGGGGCGCGGAAGACATCTACTGCCTGGGAGCGGGCGCCCTGAGGCCTAGACTGAGAGGACTGAGAGGAGCCCTGCCTCGAACTCGCGGGGGGTCGGGGGCAGATCCGACCGGGTACTGGGGACCAGATACCTGCAGACCCCCGAGATCAGGGCAGCCCACTGGGGGACCTGACTGGCCGGCCTGAGTTCCAGTCTCCTCCCTGAAGACAGGCAGCCCCTCGCAGCTCCCTGGTC